GAAGCCATCTGCAAGCCAGGAGGAGACCCCTCACCAGAAACCAAACCCTCCTAGAACCTTGATCTTGGACTTTTCAGCCTCCAGAACTGACAGGAAATAAATTTCTGTTGTCTAATCCATCTAGTATGGTATTTTGTTATGGTAGCCCAAGCAGACTAAGACTCCTATTGAATAGGAAACTAGGAGTACAGCCTGGATACATGTGTTTTAAAAAGCTCTCCAGGTGATTCTGATACAAGCTCAGTTTTGAGAAACACTAGTCTGCGTTGGGCTGAACCAAAAAGCTGAACCAGAAAGGACAAATAAGTAACAATGATAGATTACAACAGGAGCTGTGACAGGCTCATGCCCAGAGTTACGAGAACACAGAGGAGGGGTCTTTCACCCTGCAGGTGGTGACCTAAGAGCTGACTCTTGAAGGTTGCTTCCACCAGCTGCAAAGAGGAAGAGAAACCCATAAACCAAGGAGTGCGGTCTTGCTACAAGATCTCTCCTCCATCTGCTCTCAGAAGATGTCAATCTCAGAAGCTGTGTTAGCCTCAATGCATGGAGCAGAATCTTGAGAGCACTGAACAGCACTGGCAGTGAGGCTGAAGGTACGGAGGATGCCCAAGTCACCTCCTTTGACACAGTTCTGTCCCCCAGGTGTTGGCATTCCAGGCCTCTGATGGGAGTGGCAGCCTTGAGGATCTCAGAAATGCCTTCAGGTCTGTCTTTCACTGTCTTGGTGAATAGCACACAGCCTCCTTCCACCAGCACCAATCTCCCTATCAAACAGTAGCTTGGCCAACCTTGGTTTTCTCTCCTGAATATAATTTTTCATTCTTGACAACAAAGCCAGGCTGAGAATTTTCCAAATCTTTAAGTTCTGCTTCCCTTTTGATTATAAACTCCATTTTCAGTTTGTTTCTCTCTTCCTGCATTTTACTGTCAGCAGCCAAGAGCAGCTACACTGCACCCTGAACACTTGGCTTAGAGATTTCTTCCACCAAATATCCTAGTTTATCCCTCTTTGGTTCTGCCTTCCACAAAGCACTAGGACATGAACACAATTCAGCCAAGTTCTCTGCCACTTTATAACAAGGATGGCCTTTCCTCCAGGTTCCAGTACCTCGTTCCTCATTTCCATCTAAGACCTCATTAGAACGGCCTTTACTGTCTGTATTTCTACCAACATTCTGATCATGACTACTTAGATAATTTCTGAGAAGTCTGAGGCTCTCTCTACAGCTCTCCTCTTCTTCTGAGCCCTCAACAGAATCACCTTAACAATCCATTCACAGCAATCTAGGCTCTTTCTAACATGTATCTCCAAACTCTTCCAGTGTCTACCCATTACCCAGTTCCAAAGTCATTTCCACGCTTTCACGTATTTGTTCCAGCAACAGCCCCACTTCTCGGTACCAATTTCTGTCTCAGTGGATTCCTACTGCTGTAATAATATACCACAGGCTGGGCAATTTATAAACAATAGAAATTTATTTCTCACATTTCTGGAGGCTGGCAAGTCCAAGATCAGGCATCTTGACACTGACCAAAAGGTTCAGTGTCTGGCAAAGGCCCATTCCTCATAGATGGTGCCAGGTAGGTGTCCCTGCATGGTGCAAGGTGGAAGGCCAAAAAGGGGAGGCAGTGTCTGCAGCCTCTTTTCTAAGGACATTCATCCCATCCATGAGGGCAGAGCCTTCCCAGCCTCATCATTCCTGGGGTCCCACCTTTCAAATCCACCATCTTGTGGGGTACGATTCCAACATGAATTCTGGAGGACAACAAACGTTCAAGCCACAGCAGAAGCTCATGCTACTAAAGGGAGCAAGAGTCAACGTCAACTACATGAAATTTGGGGATGCTCCAGAATCACCAAAGGAAACAGCAAGTCTGATGACTCATACAGGGAAACTTGGTGAACAACAACATCACAACCATCAATTCACTGTCATCATGCTCATGAAAATTAAGAAAAATTTGTTTCTGCCTAACTAGATACTAGCCACACCATTATATTATAATGTGAAACGTAGTAAGACAATGGCCCATCCAGTATTTGGCCCTAAGTGGCCAAACGTAGTTAAGACAATGGCCCATCCAGTATTTGGCCATAAGTGGCCATCCATGAATGGCCCATAAGCATTTATGCTAGTAAATACTTACAACTGGCTCTCTAGGTGAAAGAAAACCCAATTTCTAGAGTTTGCCAGTTCCCATGGTGTAAATACTTCCACCATGGACAGTTTCAAACTACCAATCTACTTTCACTGAACGAGAAGTTGGAAACAGATACACAGGACTGGCTGAGATGGTGCATACCACTGGGCCTGTCACAGGTCTTTAAAACCCACTTTTTCCCAAAAAGATTCCTGGGGAAAAGCCAAGGCAGCATTCCTGAAATGCAGAGGGCTCCACAAACATCATCAAATAGATTGCAGCATAAAAATAAGAGGTCAGGAGGAAAAATGTTTAAACATCTGAGAAATAAATAAAACTGACAAACCTAGTGGAAACCAAGCTACATATTGAGGAAAAGTTTCTGAATCAATGTTCATCTTTCCTGTACTAACTTCTTAACCCATAAAATTGACTTTTTTTGAATTAAAAAGAGAGCTGTGTCCTTATTTCAGCTTTAACCCTGTCTTCCCCCACAAACACTTTGTACAGTATCCATTCACTTCAGTTACACATCAAGATCACAATTAGCTCCAAAGGCTGAAGAAAGACAAGTCACTGTGGTGCTTTTCCCTCGCTCATGTCATTCGATCACACAAGACCAGAGACACCTGTGACAGTGGCGTCTGTACCCTGGTTCTTAAAATGGAGTGAGCCTCACAACCTCCTGCAGGTCTTGCTAAAATGCAGACTGCCAGGCCCCACCCCCAGGGGGTTCAGCAGATCTGGGGTGGGGCCCAGGAGTCTTCATTTCTAAAAGCTTCCCACATGATGCTGATGCTACTGGTCCTGGAGTCACACTGATTTTTAAGAACCATTTTATAGCTGATTTTGGATCACTGCCATCAAGTCATCTTTTTTGAGGAACCACAGAGCCCTCCCTTAACAGACATTTTAATATACAGACAGCAGGAATTTTACACACGTCCCCATGGCCTGCCAATCACTCGGCACAGGCACATGTTTGGGGTGCAGCCATGCATCACTACTGTTACAGCCAAATGTTACAGAGCAAACTGAATGCTGGCTGCTCAGTCCTTAAGATCCTCAACTCCTGGCATTTCATATTTCACCACCACCTGGAGCCTTCACTCCACCACACATGGTGGGCTGCGTGACCTGCCCAGCTTATAGTTGAGAAAGGACAGGGTCCTGAGAGGTGACAGGACCTGCTCATGCTTGCTCGGCATCTTGGACTGAGCCTTACTTTTTCTGCATCGCATTTCTAGTTAGGAGCCTGGACGCGAGAGACACCATGGGCAGCAGGGTCACACAGGAGTAACTGGTGGAGCTGATCTCACACCAGGTCATCACCTGGTTCCCTCCCTCAGGACTTCTTGCCTCTATGCTAACCAGCGCTGGATGCTGTGATTTTCCAACTCCTGCTTCTGACGATTCCAGTTCATCTGGGTACTCCATTGCTATCACATTTGCAAGCAGCTACTTCCCATCCCTGTTTAGACACAGCACGCCCCCAACAGCCTTGCTCCTCACTTCACCCGTGCTGGGAACCATTGCAGCTTCAAAGCTGAGTAACAGTATCCTGGGGGGCATCCAGCTCAACCCCCTACCCCATCTCCACCACAATAACTAGGCAAGGGACTGCCTCGAGCGGCTATCTAGAGGGTCCCAGCACCCCACACTCCTCATGAAGAGGTGTATCCATGTCTGTCTTCCCTTGCCCTGGAGAGCCCGGCTTGGCAGAGGGCCTCACAGCAATGGCAATCCTGTGTTCTTCCAAGGCATTCAGAAATCAGTTCTCTATGTCCATGTCCAGGCGCAATAGCTCATGCCTGTAATCCCAGCACTTTGGGAGGCCAAGGCAGGCAGATCACTTGAGGTCAGGAGCTTGAGACCAGCCTGGCCAACATGGTAAAAGCCTGTCTTTACTAAAAACACAAAAATTAGCTGGCGTGGTGGCAGATGCCTGTAGTCCTAGTTACTCTGGAGGCCGCGGCAGGAGAATCGCTTGAACCCAGAAGGCAGAGGTTGCAAAGAGCCAAGAATGCATCACTGCACTCCAGCCTAGGCAACAAGAGCGAGCCTCTATCTCAAACAAACAAACAAACACTAAGCGATCAGTTCTCTATGTCCAAGTAGCTTCTCCCTTTATAACCCAGACACTGTGTATACAAGAGACTAAAGTCCATGCTTCCGTAGTTTGAACAATGCCTTATGGGTACACACTAGTGAATGTTAGAAGTCAATTAGCTCCTCCAAAGTCCCAGTGGAACATGGTTTGAGGAACTCCCCTGCCCACAGCAATTTGGTGGCCTCATGAGTCAACATTTCTCAAATACATTCTTCAGCACTTAATGTATAATCTTGGACCAGGGACCTAACCTCTGTGTGCCTCAGTTTCCTCATCTATAAAACAGGCAATAACAGTATTTACTTAAAAGCCTTATTGTGCAGATTAGGTGGGCTCACGTGCATAACTCTGAGGATAGCTGGCAGAGGGATCCACAGGGTCTGGCTCCGATAACAATGCTGCTCTGATTATTAGAGAAGCCACAAACTATGTGGCCTCATTTATATCACTTCGAGTTGTCAGTTACATGCAAATTAATGAAAGATAACTGTCTGTCCACCAAATGGCCAGGGAGGCACCTGCAATGTGTTTTTCCAGCAGAGAGGGAAGCGCGGGGCCCACGCCTACCTGGGGTTGGGAAAAGAGGGGAATGAAAGGACTAAGGGGGTCCTTCTGGAACCTATCAGGTCAACTCCCTCTCAGAAGAAAGCCACAGCTGAGCAACAGCCCCACAGACAGATTGAACAGGCGGACAAAACAACTGCTGTCTAAACAAAAGAAGCAGGGCTGCCAACCCCACACTTACTTCCAGGACTGTCCATTGTTCAACCACAATAGCATCGTAGCCCTGTATGGTTTTGCTATCTTCATTGGAAACAGCTTCAAAGATGAATACTCCATCTGTCAAGCCCTGTAAGGAATCTGTGGAAAAAGAAAGAGGCGGGGGTTTGTAAACCGTCCGTGGCAGAAGTCTTCTAAGCAGTAAACATTTCTACTGCATTCATTAATAATCCCAATCAGAACATCTTTTCAGCATGTTAATTAACGAAGGCACACGCAGCCATAGAGTCTATCTAGCCCTATCAGAATGAATGAGGCTAATTTACCTCACAGTTTTGAATAATATCCTTGATTTTATGAGCCCAAATTTCATTGTTAGCAATCACCATTTGATTTCACGCCTTTACCTTCCTTTTCATGCTCCAGCATCAGGATGCACTGGGGAGAACTTACCCAGGGTAAAACACAGTCATTAGAGATAGTTTTTAGAAGGAAACTATATTTAGGTGAGAAGGTTTTTTTTTTTTTTTTTTTTTTTTTAAGGGAAGAGATATAACACACCAGATCTGAGTTTGTCAGACACATTCTAGATGCGTTAATTCTTGGAAGTTCATGCGATACGGGCTTCTGTCCAGACCACATTTTAGGCAGCTCTTGTCAAGAGGTGGAATTTGGGGGAGGGGGAATTTTCCTAAATAATTTACAACTGGAAATATTTCCCTGGGCACTGCTCTAGTCAATGTACCAGGTTCGGAGCTCTGTACAATTCGACAAGTATACATGAAATGTATAGCATGACTGAGAACTGCCTCAGGCAATGAGGGCAAAAAGAAATAAAGAACAGGTCAGGCCGAGTGGCTCATGCCTGTGATCCCAGCACTTTGGGAGGCTGAGGTGGGCGGATTGCCTGAGCTCAGGAGTTTGAGACCAGCCTGGGCAACACGGTGAAACCCCATCTCTACTAAAATACAAAAAGTTAGCTGGGTGTGGCAGTGTGTGCCTATAATCCCAGCTACTTGGGAGGCTGAAGCAGAATTGCTTGAAGTGGGGAGGTGGAGGTTGCACTGAGCCAAGATCGTGCCACTGTACTCCAGCCTGGGTGACAGAGTGAGACTCCGTCTCAAAAAAAAAAAAGGAAATACAGAACAGAGTCCCTGCCCCTACAGAATACACTAAGGGAAGCATCTTTTGCCCCTTTGTTTTGTGCATGGCTCCTAAATGTCCTAGGTTAATTCTGATAAGGGATCTGGGGAAAGAATGACTTAGAAGCAAGCGGTCTGGGGCTAGGCTCTGTCACAAAAGGTGATGTGACTCTTTCAAGGGCTTGGTCTCTTTTCTATAAAATGGGATTATGGAGAGGCAATCTCTCTTGGTTCCTAGATTCTATGCTATAAACACTGCTCAATCATAATATTATGAACTGAATGGTGTCCTCCCAAAATTCATATGTTGAAACCCTAACCCTCAATGTGACTATATTTGAAGACAGAGCCTTTAGGAAGGTAATTAAGGTTAAATGATGTTCTAGTCCTCATTTAAGTAGAGTGGGATGGGGCCTTAGTCCAATAGGACTTGTGTCCTTATTAGAAGAGGAGGAGAAACCAGAGCCCTCTCTCTCCCTCTCCTGGCGTGTGTCAAGAGGAAAAGCCACATGAGAACACAGCAGGAAGGTGGCTGTCTACAAACCAGGAAGAGAGCCTCAGCCAGAAACTGAAGTTGCTGAAACCGAGACCATGGACTTCTAGCCTCTAGAGCTGAGAGAAAATAAATGTCTGTTGTTTAAGCCACCCAGTGTGTAGTATTTTGTTATGACAGTCCTGGCAAACTAACACACTTACAAAGCACATTTCAATGATATGCTCTTTAAAAGGACAATTTTTAACAGGAAAAATCTATAATAACGTGACCTTTTTTTTTTCCCCCACAGGGAGGGAAGGAACACAAATTCAGAAAGTCCTCTGAGTCACGCTGGAGTTCCTAGAACTGCCAGTATTTTCTAGGAGTCACAAAGAAAAAGACTGAAAAGCGTGAATATATAACAATCTTTAGTTTTTGTCTTCCAACAGACCCCACAAACAAAAGGTCATCAGCATAAGAAAATTATTTGCAACAACAATAACAAAAATAAAGGCTAAGCACGTTTGCTTCGGCAGCACATATACAAAAATAAAGGCTAAGCTTAATATTCTTATATATAAAAAGCTTTAACAGATAGTTAAAATACTAAAACACCGGCCGGGCGCGGTGGCTCACGCCTATAATCCCAGCAATTTCGGAGGCCGAGGCGGGTGGATCATGAGGTCAAGAGATCGAGATCATCCTGGTCAACACGGTGAAACCCCGTCTCTACTAAAAATACAAAAATTAGCTGGGCATGGTGGCGCGTGCCTGTAATCCCAGCTACTCAGGAGGCTGAGGCAGGAGAATTGCCTGAACCCAGGAGGCGGAGGTTGCGGTGAGCCAAGATCGCGCCATTGCACTCCAGCCTGGGTAACAAGAGCGAAACTCCGTCTCAAAAAAAAAACAAAAAACTAAAACACCATTAGAAACAAAGGGCATAAACTAGCAATTAATTAGCTCTCTTTCTCTTTCCATGGCCAATAAACACTGGAAAAAAAAAATTGCACTATCTTTTGTTTGTTTGAGATGGATGGAGTATCACTCTCTCTCTTAGACTGGAGTGCAGTGGCACAATCATGGCTCACTGCAGCCCTAACCTCCCGGTCCACGTGATCCTCCCACCACAGCCTCCGAGCAGCTGGGACCACAGGCACGTGCCAGCACACCCAGCTCATTTTTGTATTATTTGTAGAGATGGGGGTCTCACTGCGTTGCTCAGGCTAGTCTCGGACCGCTGGACTCATGATCCTCAGCCTCCCAAGGTGCTGGGATTACAGACATGAGCCATCGCTCCAGGCCTCAACTTCTTTTTTATTTAACAAACTGACAAATTTTGAAAAGACAATTCCCACTGTGGTAAAGGTATGATGATATGGGAAAGTTTACAGTGCTTAAGGGAATTTTAACTATATAATCTTTCTAGAAAGCAATTTAACAATGTTGCAGGAGCTTGCCACACAAGGCCCATCCTCTTTCACCTGGAAATCTGACCTTTCTTGTCTATCCTGAGGTAATTACCTCCAACACCATCAAATATCCACCTACGAGCATTACTTACAAAATTACTTAAACACTTAATCTAAATGTTCAACAATCCAAATATTTAACCATAGCAAAACAGTTAAATTTGTAGCTTTATGTACAGTTAATACTAGGCTATCCCTAAATATCATGGGAACTTAATGATTCAGAAAAATTACTTAGATACAATATTATGGAGAAAAAAGTAGGATATAAAACTACCATATGAGCTCAATATGGATTTTTATGTTCAAAAGGTTTAGACAGACTTTAAGGAAATATACAAAATGCCAGCAGCCGTTATAAGTGGTAGAATTACATACAATTTGAGTTTTCTGTTATATCCTTTTCTGCAAGGTTATTAGCAAGTTAATGCAGGTATAATACAAGTCAATGGACAACACAGAGGACAATTTCCTTTTTCTCTCCTCTACAAGGCTCTTGAAGGCATAACTAGATTCAAAGAGTTGTTTAAAACTATCAGGAGATGATTTTAGTATAAATATATATAATAAATATATATATATATAATATATCTAAATCTATAATATTTAGATTATATTTAGTATAATCTAAATAGAAAGAACTTTCCTTAGAGGAACCTAAAAATGGTAAGATAGAGCCTCAGAAGGGTGAGTGGCATGTTACTAGAGACACTCAAACTTACCCTGAATAACCTTCCAGCCATTCATTACTGGGATACCTACTGGGAAACTATGACATGCCACATACTCTTGTAGTCACTGGAGACCTCACAAACCACAAGACAAAGTCCCTGCCACCATGAAGCTTACCTTGCAGTGGAAGAGGAAGACAATAACATAATGTCCAGGTGACAAATGCTATAAAAATACCAAGTGCACCAAGGGGAGTGTGAAGGTGGACACAGCGGTGGCAGCTATTTTTGAAAAAGGCATCAGGGTAGGGCTCCCCACTTTGAGTGAACTAAGCAAGCAAGGGATTTGGATCTGCAGGGTTTGAGAGTTTCAGGAGGAAGGGACAGCCAGCCTGACATGCAGAGTGAATGAGTGACAGACAAGGACCAGGTGAGCAGCAGAATCAGGAGAAAAGGTGGTTAAGACTAAATTGACTGGTGGGGAGGCCAGCCACTTAGGGCTCTGCTCATCTCACTTGCTTGGCCAATGCGATATTAGTAGAGGCCAAAAAGCACATGTGTGGTTGAGCTAGGCCTCTTCTGTCTTTGCCAGTATGTTGAGAGGGCATACTCCAGCTAGCCACTTGGTTCTAGGGAGACAGGACAAATGGAGCAGAGCTGCTCCAGTGGAGCCCAGTTGAGCCTCAACAGAGCTGCTCCAGCCAACCCCAAAATCTGCCAGAGTAAATCATCACCATTGTGAGCCAATGAGTTCTGAACTTGTTTGTTACACAGCATTATTGGAGTAATAGCTGACTGACACAATGCCCAATCTAGACCTAAAAAACAAGACCACTATACTTTGCTTAGCCTGGGTCCTTATTCCAGAATAATAGGAAGGCCTAAATGGTTCAACAAACCATGGCTACAAGGGTAATAAGCACAGCAGCCTTATCCTGATATTATCCCAACATAAGATAATTCTCCCTTTCAAGTAAGAGCCCTATGGGTAAACCAGTAACATGCTCCAGTTTCTTACTTGTCTCCTATCCTGAGAGTCAGTTATCAAACAGCCTCAGCAAGTGCTAAGCTTGCCTCTGTTGTCTGCTTTGCTAAAAAGTTTCCCCGATTGCTTATTCCATGGCCTCCTAAGAGACACTTTCATAGGTGATCAGGGAAAACCAGCTGCTGTACAGCTAAATCACATCACAAGTATTCCGGGGTCAAAGGTGAGCACGGACCATAGTCCAGCTCACTTTTTAAGTTCTGGGTAATGCTCCAGGAGTCCATCTGGAGCCCCTATCACAGTAGGGATGCCCTAAAAGACCCCTTTGAGTAAAGCCTTCCCTAGTCTTGACCTGGGGATACTTGAGACTGGAAGATACTCGATGATTCCATCAGGATT